AAACATGGGGGAAATGACTACAAAATGCAGAAAGCAGGTTTGGACCACTATAAATGGGATTATGGGGATGATAATCATGCTATTATCCCTCTGCCCTTCATGTGCACCATGTTTTATCACAAAATTAGTCTTCATCACACACCAACCTGTCCTCTTTTTGCCAAACGTCAGGCACACATGCACAAACATTATATTTTTGCCATTGCACACGAATGCCCTATATTGTGGCACAGATTTGTTTTACTGTTTGTGTTTTCTTTGTTTTGACAGTGATGTGAAAAGACCAACAAGTCTTCCACACAAAAAGACAAACATCAGTACAGTTATAACGGCATTTTTTCAGCTCAGAACAAGGAGAACAGAAAAAAAAAATATTTCCTGTCATTTCATACAACATTTTGCACATAAAAGATACTTACAGGGTGAAATAAACAAAGTCCAGGTATGAAGCAGATACATGGACAGTTGCAGTGATTTTATTGACTTGATTAAATAAAGTTTTACAGTTCATTTCAGTTCATTTCTTTGAAACTTTGAATTTACATGTGTTGGTACCACAATGGTATTCAGATATGCAAGAATGAAATGTTTGAATCTTTGTTTATTTCAATTCCCATAATTTAAATATAAATAGTTTCCAGTTTCTTTCCAAGGAGGTGTAATGAAACGCATTTGCCTCATAGCAAAAGATGATTCATCTAAATCATTATGTTTCTTACATATTTCTACGAATTTCTTCTGAATCAAGCCAACCAACCAAGCAGAGCTTAATTTGATTTACAGCATTGTACAAATGCAGCTGTACTGAAAAAGAAGAAGAAAGAAAGAAGAAAGTTCTGATAAACAAATACATATTCAGAAGTGTATTACTTTTTCCTTTAATTTGTCACTGATCTGTATATTTATACGAACAGCCAATTCCAGCAATCAAGTGCAATGGAAAAAAAAGAGCCACAACAAAACAACACTGTTAAAATATGCTGGAGTAAACAAATGTTTTTCATCTGCTTTTAGTTTAAAGCGCATTAAATACGAATCCAGAATCATAAAAAAAAAGTGCATCATTACCAAATGTGCATGTAGCCACTGAAGAAAGAGAGTCTGATATTCAAACAGAGATGTGAGAGGCTTTGTAGACTGAAACAGTGCATTTGTGGTATGCATGTAATGGTTCAGAAAACTGGTACAGTACAGTTCTCTGAATTAACTCATATCTCAGTGAGGAGAGTATTTCATTAGTCTAATTGAATACATGCATTTATGTGTTTTCAGGATTACCTATGCCAAGAAGCCTCTTACTTTCCACACATGTTTTACGTGGTAAAAGGCAGTTTTTCTATAGAAGGTATCATCAGCTTCACTTAACTTTAACACATTCAAGTAGTGGTGTAAAAAGTGAAGTGTCCAGGGACAGAAACAGAGGCTATGTATGATGTAGAGGCAAAACACAAAACTATAGTGGACCAGTAATTGACCCCTGAGGGACTCCACTTACGATATCAGCACAATGTTTGGGAGGGATTTCCAGAAATGTTGTCTTCCTATGTAGTCTCCATTTAAGAAAAACAAACACTGAGTCAGCCAGGCCTGATCAGTTTAAATGTTGTGAAACAGGAATGTCTACATTTTTGTTGCTTCATTGCAGTTCATTAATGAAACTAGTCGATCACCAGAAAAATGTTGTAATTACGTCTATTAAGCAAAAAGGCAAACATTTGCAGGTTCCAGCTTCTTAAATAATAAGGATGCACTGAATTGACCTCTTTCATATTATAGAAAAATATATGATTTACATTTTTTTGGATTTGAATTGCTGCTCTGACAAAAAAAACAAAAACAAAACAAAACAACTAATCATGCTTTTTTTTTTTTAATAAAAGACAGCACAATACTCTGGTTCTTGTTCATTTGCTCTGACTCTCAGTCAAACACAGAAATTCCAAATATGTACAGATTCATACAAATAGTACTTACAGGAAGCATTGCAGGTATGTTGTCCAATATCCAACTATCCTAAAACTTTGACAAAGCTTGTAAAATTATTCACATCCAATTTAAAAATTTATCATCTGCAACATGGCAACTTTCTAATTTACTAGAACTATGACTTATTAAAATGTACTGATTACTTGGCAAGTCCGGATCAAAATAAGGAGAGAACTGGGCTCACTAAAGTTCAGGGTGCAGGAGGTATAGAGTGAACTATGTGTCTGACAGAGGCGAGGTCACAAGGTCAAAATCCTATCAGGTTACTTACTGAGTCTTCCTAAAACAAAGCCTGAATAGAGACCAGTGGCTCTACTCACAAGACTTCCCCACATTCTAACACAGAGGGGTCAATGCAAATCAGCTTCTTGTTGAACACTGGGTTCCCCTACTTACCCATAAACCACTGACTTATTTCATCAATATCAAAGACGTATCTACAACAAAGCAGCATTTTTTCTACAGCAGTTAGAATGGTGATGATGTGTGAATTGACACTGGGAATTCCTTTGAGAGGGGTTTCCTTATTTGTAAACCTTTACATTTTTTACTTCTACATCTATCATATTTAAGGATGTATAAAAGGATATTGTTGTACTTGACACATTCTGAGGTGTGAGAAATTCAGTTTCTTTCAGTAATGAATGTGCTGATGAATCTATGAGTAGTAAGTGTGAAAACCCCCATATGAAAGAAGATTCAAAGGTCCTATTAGAGCTTGTCAGTAACTAACACTATAAGGGCTTTGTACTATCATGTATACACATAGATCTAGGCTTCAAAATGTGATCTGAATCACAGACTGTGTATAAAAGATGTACAGAGACTCCAGGTCTAAAAAGTGAAGCCAACGCTAAACAGACTTACACTGACCAGCCAGCAGGGGGCGACTCTTCTGGTTGCAAAAAGTAGTCAAATTGCATAGACGGCTGTGAGAAAATGACACTACTTCTTACTTGATCTGTCACCTCAGTAAACAGTTCCCTCATGTTCATTTAGTCAAATATCTTCCCATTTAGCGTAAACTAGACGATAAAACAGGGTATTTTTAAAAGCATGACTGCCTTGTCATTGCTGCAGTATGGCCATGTCATTGTGTTCTCACTTAGAGCCACCCTTCACTTGTCACTTGTTCCAACCGCAGTTCACACACTTGTGGGTAACATTATGGTGGTAGCGTTCATCTTTTAAATGTAGCCTTCGATACGAATATGACGTCACCTGTTTGCACCAATTATTTCACAAGGAAGAACCTCACTCAAAGAAGAGATAGGGTTACACCCCCTGTAAGTGAGACACTTTTTTGTTACACATAAGGAACGAAAAACGTTTACAAACAGCATAAAAATGTATTGCAGAATTTCAAATTGGACATGAGGTCAGCAAAGTAATGGCTCAGGTGGTAGAGTGAGCTTTTGGTTAGCAGTTTAAGCCTCAGTCGTTCCACATGTTGAAGTGTCAGCAAGACACTGAACCTGAAGTTAATCTCGTTAACCTTGCACAGAAGCTCTGCCACCACTGGTGAGAGTGTGTGTGAATGGGTTAATGGGAAACTTTGTGCTTTGTGAAGTGCCCAAGTAGAAAAGTACTGCATAAGTGCAGACATTTACAACTTAAATGAGGAAGAGAGATGCAACTAGTGACCAAATATAATAACAAAGTGAAGCCCAACAAGCTTATATTATACAAGTGCTGGAGAAAATGTAGACCACAAAGTAGGACTCACACTCATGTGCCGTCATGTCTAAAGGTCAGAAATGATTGAAAGAAAGTATTCTTCCAGCAAGAGGGGATCCAAGATCCAAAGATCCAAAAGCTGTCCATGTAGATGTACTTGCAGAAGGGCGAAAACGTATTTGTTACAGATCCTATTGGTGTCTGTCCTAAAGTGTGTGACAAGTAGGTGACTGGTGTTTGGATGCAAAAGTATGTTAACCGTATGAGATGGGTATAAATACAGAGTAGTGCCAAATTAAGAGAAGTAGCAAAAAATGCCTCAAGGTGTTAGACTGCCAGTACAGCTTCAGTGCACATTGGCATTGATTCTTGAGTCTCTAGAACTTGGTGTTGATATCTTGTGACCGTTAAAGGCCACAGCATACAATTTACATCATTTTCATCAAACAGGTCAGAGACCCAGTGTGCCCTGTGGATGGGGACATTGTCATCACTGGTAAGACCATTCACATCAGGAGATAATACTTCAACATAGTAGTGATCACTGAGATTGTTCACAGGTTCAGGTTGTTCCTTTAACTTGCCACCTGTCTGTATGTTTTTGCAGAACACAACAAAAGGAGCTCGAACCAAGACACAGCGTTCGAGGCATCGTCTTTCAAAACATTCAACTATAGCACATTTCCATTCCAGGAAGTGTGATATGTTGTGATTAGGTTCTGGGAAATGAGTAATCTCCATTTGTGGATGAATCAGCCCGGCCTGGAATGTCGTAATATCCTCTAAAGCACCCCCACTCTACTGACTCTTATCAAAGCTAGCTGGGCCCATTTTTCTTCAAAAAAAAAAAAAAAAAACTCCTGGAGAACAAATACAAACCAGAATGCTATTTCAGAAAACAAACAACGGCGAAGAAACAGAAAAGGCCTCATTGTTCTTTGTTTCACTCTTTGTGACGACCCACCTCTGGTAGAGATGGAGGAGGAACTCGCAGGAGGAAAATCAGCTGCACCTCCAATCTTCATTTGTCTGCTGTATTACTTTAGATGGAGCACATGGAGGAAACATGAATCAATTAACGGTAAATGCAAGAAGAACATGCTCTTAAGAAATATAGGAGTCAGCTGGCGGGACACCAGACGGATGCACACACAACCACACCACCCCCTGCTCCTTTTAGAAGGGGCCTCGTCTCCACGGCGACTGAAGACAAAAAAGAGGCCCTGGCACAGCTGGTCTGTAGCAACAGAGACAGAGAGAGAGAGAGAGAGAGAGAGAGAGAGAGAGAGAGAGGAGGAGGAGGAAAAAACTGTGAATGAGTGTTCAGATGTACAGACTGCACAGAGGGTGAGGGGGAGTGAGAGACAGCGTAAGCAGCAGCGAAAGAGTTGATTTGGAAAAAGGTTGGAGGAAAGAGAGAGGGAGGGCGAAAGAGGAGGAGGAGGAGGAGAAGGAGGACGTACACAAACTCCCAGAGAACAGGAGGAGAAAGTGGAGCAGGCTGCAGAAGGAACAGTCGCACATAAGCGGCTGCTGATCTGCACCAAGAGTCAAATTACCCCCAGTGCTGGTGTCTCAGGCTGAACTGGAGCAGGCTAATTAGATGAAGAGCCTGAGACCAGCAGGCACCACAAACAAACTTGAGAAAAAGAGAAGGGGGAAGGGTGAAAACAAGAACAAGTCTGTGAAACATCGTGGGGACAGTTTCATGCACTGCTGAGTTTGGTTCTCCTTTCGGAGAAGAGTTGAGAGATGGAAACAGTGACGCTCTCACTGTGAAGTTGTACGCGCTCACTTGCAGAGGTAAGAGCTTGTGTTTTACATGTGTCTTTGTGCTTTCTTTATACCTTTTAGGATTGAAAGACCAGGCTGTCATATGCAATGCATGTCAAGAACAGGCTTTATGCGTATTTTCTGCTTGGCGGTATGCAAATACTAAAGCACAGCCAGAGAGGAAAAACAACTGCAAAGGTCTGCTGAGGACACCAGCTTATTTACACTTGTTTCAAAGACAGTATTGTCCTCTTTATCAAGATTTCTGCTGCATGTCTCGATCCCTGTGCTACTGTGTCCTGCTACTTATGAAACATAATGTGGGAGTGCAGTGGAAGGACAAAGACAAGAGTAAGGAGGGCCGGCAGCAGAGGTCACACATTCTTTAGCGTAACTCTGGCAGGTGGTGGAGATCAGCTGCAGGGGCTGCTAGAACACCAAGCAGGAATATAAATATATACTCACCAAATGGTAGTGTATGTGCATGTATATACAGCTATATTCATGTGCTTGAAACATGGAAATAGTAGGACATTTGAAGGACAATGTTTTAAAAACACACAATATCCTGCGGAGTTGCACAACATAGAGATGCCAGGAAATTTGGTCCTTCCTGTAAGAACTGCAGACTGATGTTTCATCTCTGTATCAAAATATGATGAGAGAAGCATAACAACCACAAACCCACACACACAAAAAAAAATCTATGCAAAGTGGAAGCCATGTGCCATTTAAACACTTCCTGAACTGATGGAGAACATCAAGCAATGACACGTTAGCACAATTTTTAAAAAAAAACAAAAAACAAATGTATTATTCAGAATATTAATCAACATTTTTTTTGCACAGCTGCACACACAATGCAAAATATGCAATATAATATTTTTTTTGTCATCACAGTAACACCTACATCCTAAAAGATATAGTACAGTGTAATAGAGTAGTATGCAGTATAGATGAGACGGTGTATATGCAGTGAGGAGGTTTAGCTGAAGAGAAAGTGCAAATACAAAACTAAAAAACAACAACAACATTCTTGCCAAATGTGTAATAATCTATACAAAAAAAGAAGAAAATTGGACAACTTATGTTGGAGCTGAATCTCAATCTACCAGAAATTAAACTATGTGTGAGACAGCTCCTGCGCATTCGTTTAATGAAGCAATAGGAGAAGATATTTAGGTCTCACTCAATGGATTTATTTATCAGATAGTTGAATAAGCATACAGAGCTCTGGATCAAACTTCTCACCCTAGCACCAACAAAGTTAATGTCAGGGCACGAAGTCTGACTGACTGCCTCTTCCTGATCCAGTGTACTTATACTTTACATGAGAATGTGCACAGAATGTGTTGCAGCTAGCTGATTGGCCCGTCCGTGTCCTTGAGCCTTCTTCCACCATCTCGTAGGTGCAGAAACTTGCCACTCTGCACCCTAAGTTTCTCCCTCCTGTGGATACCTGCTTGTGACAGAGAAATACACAAACCACCAAATCCTGTCTCCACTTACGCTTTCTCATGCTGCAATTGTTTATCAATTGTGTTGATTATGCCTTAAGATAATAATGTGAGATTAAGATAATAATAAAAAGTGAGGAGAGTAACACCAAATAATCAAAATATGAAATAATGTGAGATTTATATAATAAGAGATTATCAAAACATGAATATAAAATATATGATCCTAGCACTTACACAAAGTCAAGAAAACCAACAGAATATATTTTGGGGGGAAAACAAGACATTAAGTTATGTGTATAATAACAAATGCACATGGAAAAGTAGATCCATGCATAAATAAATGAGGAAATAAGTACTAGAATGATAAGATGTCATCTGGTTATCGGTAATAACTTCTCAGTGAGATCCATGTGGGCCTGTTAAACTGTCTCTGCTGTTGTTTTAATTATGTTGCTTAGCAACACAGGCAGCAGCAGCAGCAGCAGCTCAGGTACAGCAGACATCATTTCAAAGTAGTTATTTGAGTAAATGAAAAACTGGTATTCTAATTATAACTCCAAATCATAGTTATTTCTCTGTTATATAAATGGTATAATGTGTAACACTCGCCACGCAACAGTTGAGCAGGACCTGTAGAGTTTGCTGAGCAGCTATCTGGCATTATTTGAAGTGGTAGCTAGCATTAGCTTAGCTGTTGAAAAAGCCATGGCTAGCCTTTGGAACAATATACTTTGTATTTTTGTATTTTTATTAAATGAATTGCCATCATAATCGTTTAGTCTGTCGTCGCACATACTGTAAGATGATAACAGCATAGCTAGGTCTCATAATGAGAAAAACAACTTTTTATAGTCCTGCTAAGCTAGCTTAGCACAGTAGCAACAACTGTCATCCTCAGTGGAGTTGGCTAAGCAACAAGAGTAGAACTACATATTGAAATGATATTTATCGCTACTTATTTTCAGATGGAGATTTTGATACCAGCATTAACAATAAATGTCAGACATCTTGAAAAACAGAGATACACTAGGAACCATAACCTTTAACCTCTTAAGACCTGGCCTCCACATGCATGGACATCACATTTTTATTTTTTATTATTTTAGTATTAATATTTTATTATTTTTTTTAAATATATATTTTTAAAAATTTTCTATATTTTAAAATAGCTTTCTATTTTCTTTATATTCTTTTTTATTTTTTATTCAGATCAAATAACAAAGAGAATTTTTTTTTTAAAAAAAGCATATCAAACAAGAGTTCGGGTCTTAAGTAGATAAATAAGCATAAACAAATATTGCATAAAATATATATATTGAAAATGTAAGACGAAAGGACATTTTTTTGCACATTTTTGCATTAAATTTCTTTAGGATTATCCAAAAGCAGTACACATATGTATTTTATGCAGGTGATGTCAATTTTTGTTTTGGTGGCAATCAACATGAAAAGTTTTAAAATAACACATTGTCAGCTCTCTATGAGTAATGCAGCTGGTAATTTGACAGCTTGTGCTGCTCCCTGCCTTTGTAGGGCTGCATACTATAGCACAAGGTAGTGAAGAGAAGAAACTATTGACATTCTATGTACTAGATCAGACTAGAGGAAGGTGCTCTACCAATTGTATTTTAAGCCATAAAGTAAGAAGAAATTACAAGCAAGGAATACAAGCTCTTTGAAACAGTTTCTTTTTTAAAAAATGTGGTCAATAAATGTGAAACACACGAAAGTCCATTCAGAATTTATCTGTTAAGACTGTCTGTGTTCACTGTCCTGTTCTGCAGCCACTTCTCAGTCTTGTGCCCTTATCTCCTGCACACCCTGTCTAGTATCAGCCTGTACGATCTCACCCACACACAGCTGCTCCAGTGATGATGACAGGCCTCAGTCTTGAAATGCCAAGCCTGAAATAGTTAGCCATGTTTATAATTAAACTGAACATGCAGCATGCTTTCTCCTATGTGTGGATACAAGTGTATCGAGCCTGGAACAGGGGGTCACACACAATCTGCCCACAAACAAATACAATATAGACACACAGCCTGTCCATACACCTACGCATGCAGGAAGCTCATCAGTGGGCTAAGTAGGGGTGCTGATGCATAATGAGGGAGTACTCACAGAGCACGTAGAGTATTTAGGGATCAAGGGCACATGCTACCAGGCTTGAGGGGTAATTGCAGGGTGGGAGTATAAAATCACAGTAGTGAAGGGTGGAGCTGAAGATGAAAATAACTTTTCGACATTCAGAGCATTTTTACTCAGGACAGTGTGACACTCATTCATTCACTTTATCATCCTCTCTTTTTCAAGTGTAGAAAGTTCTGCAGTTTGCTTGAAGAAAGAAGCCCAAGCCATTTCTGCATCGTCTGTCGTGCATCGCCGACTTCTGAAAGTCAGCATGGAGGTGAAAAATGAGATGATGGATATTCTTCAGAGAGTGTGGACCAAACTGCAGGGTCTCCCACAAGCAAATTCGCTGGAGCTGGGAGCCTTCTTTGTGCTCATCCTGTTTGTCGGTGAGTTTTGTCCTTTAGCTTCCATACACAGATGCACTCAGTGACATTTAAATGACCAAAGACATGAAGAGAAATCCTAAATATGAGCAGAATAAATATGGTGGACATACTGTGTGTTCTCAAGGTCACCACTTTCCCCCGAACGTTTTTGTTCTAAAAAGTTCTGCAAAGTTCTAGTAATGTTTCCAAGGGGAACTTATTTTTAGAATGTCTTTAGAGAGTGTTTTCCTTCCATTAATAAGACCTTTTTGGGAACTTAAACAAGTTTGCTGATAACATTGGTAGACCATTATTCCCTAATATTCTTGAAACATTTGCAAATGTTGCATTGAAAACATTGTTCCCTTGTTATTATGTATCATTTTGTAACAATGGGGGAATGTTTAATATGTTTTATTTACACGTTCTGTAATGTGTTACCACAACAACGTCCCCAAAACATCCTTAGAATGTGGCAGGCAAAGTGTCTACCTTTATTAAAATAATGTTTTTTAAATAATATTCTGTCACTTGGTTGCTGAGGTTGGCTCCCACTGCAAACATCTGCAACTTATGACCAAAAACATCCACGTGGCTCTGTCTGTTGCAAATTCAAAGCAGCATCAGTCTATTTCCTGGCCAATTAGGGTCAGCCAGACACGCTGTAAACAAAACACTTGTGCATTATTTTTTTGTAAAGCTGATATGGGAAAAAGGGGGGCGGACTTTTGCTTATTTACACATCCAACAGATGCAGAATAACATTTTTTCTGAGTCTAATTTTCCTTCAGTGAGACATCTGGTTCGAGCTCCACCTGTTCATGTGGAAAATATATGTCTCTGTAGCTGATAAATGCTCCTCTATGTTCACTAAGTTCATATAACTGCTACCATCATGAGCTGATCCCACCCTGTGTCTTCTGTCTCTGCAGCCACGGTTCTCTTCATGGTCGTGCTGTCCTGTGTCCACTGCTGCTGCTGTGGGAAGCCAAAATACCAGGCCTCAAGAGTTCAGCCTGTCCAGCCCATCTGAAAAGGAGACAGAGGGCAGAAGCCACCAACAAATACAACCTCCACCCGTGTTTCTGTCCTCCATGGAATCACTCACTTGATAAAAGTCCCTTTTTCTCACTTTTTAAATTAGTCAATGATTTTTTTTCAGAGCCATTGGTTTCTTTGGTGCGCATCAAATGGGATTAATCTAGGAAAGGATGAGACGTCATTGCCATATTTCCATCTCTGGGTGAAAGACTGGATCAGCATCCAGAAAGCCACTGGAATCCATTTAAATCAGCAGAGTGGCACGACTCATCAAGATTCACTACAAATGAGAACAATAGAACACTGTGTGGCAGCGTTTCATGGACAAAAAGATGTAAGAGAGCTAATTTGTGCTCCAACATCACAGAGACTCCGTTATTACAAACGTAGCTGTTCGGTATGCTGTTGACATTCATCAGGAATGTGAGAAACAACAAAGAAAATATACATTCCAACATGTGCATGTGTAGTGGACTTGAAGTTACATGTTTTGAACAGGAACCTGCCTTTGTTAAAAAAAAAAAAAAAAGAAAAAAGACAGAGCGCCCTCTGCTGGCCCACTGAAGAATATTTGTTTTTGGGAATTGTGCCAATAGAAAATGTGAGCTGCTGTTTCAGCAGTTACAACTGTATTCTCTTTATGTTGTAAAATACAAGTGTCACATGAAGGCACTGCAGTGTTTCATTAGCATATCAAGCTGTGTGTTAATATGTTTGATGCTCATATTTGTATGAATGTAATAAATGTTCAATGTATTTCCAAAAAACAAACATGTTTCTATTTCTAGGATCAAATGTAACGATACCAGAGGTTGTGAAAGCGTGGGGATAATGGTAGAACATCTAAATACTGTTTGACTTTATTCCAATAACTACACTTTGATGTCAATCCAATCAGTGAAACACTGCACTATTGTGTACATGCCTTATCGTTAGACTTCTCCTTTTCCTCCACGAGTCAGTATTTTGAGTTTAAACATTAACCAGGTGCTGTTGCTTTCATTTAGCCCACACAGAGCAAATGTCACCGTCACTTAGAAAGCAACAGGAACTGCTCAGAGTTTGGATTTGCAGAATGCCTCTTCTTTTCACAGAGTGAGAGTAAACTGCAATGTTTGGGCTTTTTAAATAGCTCCAGTGCTGTGCGTGGATCAAAACAGTAGCTAAAGCTGTGCTCTACAATATATTCACAGTCTGTTAGGACTCACTGAGCCGTGAGAGGATCATTTAGCAGGACATGGCGGTGGAGAGGTGAGTTTTTGAAATGGAATGTGTTGGGTGACAATAGCCTGTAACATCAGCAGATTACTATAGAGCTCGCTGATAAGAACACAGCTTTAGTGCAGCTTCTGTGTAACTTTTATAAGCATTTTATAATTAGCAGATGATACGTGTCTGTCAGCTTTATGAAGCATTGTTAGGGGCAACTAATGATCCAAATAACATTGTGTCATCTAAGCTCGTTCTGTAGTTGAGCTTTAATCTGGTTTATCCGTCTATGTACAGTTTAGTAGAGCTGCAGAAACCCACGGGCTCACCGGAGGACTGGTTGGAGTGGGTCCTGTATCGTCTTCAACGGGAGCCGTGGGCACTGGGTGGCTTCGTGGTCATTGGGGTGTTCGTGCTGGGAACCCTGTCTCTGGCGATCTTCGCTCTGCTGTATGGATGCTGCTGCAGCCGTGGAGAAGGAAAGCCAAACAAGAAGAGGCAGCAGAAGAAGTCAAAGGACACAGTGATCTAGATGTGTCAAGAGAACTGACTCATATGCTGCAAAATGAATGTCAACTTCAAGGAGAATCACCTTTGGGAAATTCATTTTAGATGTGGTGGAAATTCAAGTTGAGAGTTTCACAGCTACACAGTATGTTACAGCTTTTCAAAGATATGGATTTCTGAATGATAAATTTAAAATGTATTCGAAATGTTAGTCTTTTTTACGTAGTCTTCATTGCTGTATTTGTACCACATGGCAAAAAGAGTGGAACCACACCGCTAAAATCAAATCAATACTTCTGTTTGGCGTTGCAAGGAGTTATCTGCAGGAAGTGTGAGGTGTGTTTCACTGTCAGTCATTGATGATAAAAGGTGATTATGAAAATGAGGCAGATATTACAAACTAATTTAATTCACTACTACTTCCCTGTGTCTACAGTAGGCCAAACCTTTTGCTAAATTTATTTTCAAATATAAGTCAGTGTTTGACTTGTAATAGTAGTTGTCATTTCTAAATATGTATAGCCATTCTCTGTCAAAAATGTGAACAAAATCAGTACTTGTTTTGTGTATCTTTTGAGAACCAACATAATAAAGGCACTTAATGAAAAAGCATAGAATTCTCAGATGTTGCACACAGTCTATTTGCATAAAGAACGACTATGTTGTGCCATCCATCCATCCATTATCTATACACCGCTTAATCCTCACTGGGGTCGCAGAGGGGCTGGAGCCTATCCCAGCGGACTTAGGGCGAAGGCAGGGGACACCCAGGACAGGTTGCCAGTCTGACTATGTTGTGCTTCACTTTTAAATACAGTCCTTTACTGTTGTTGAGATAAAGTCACCTATGAGGAATACTCAAGGTTAGAACCTTAGTTCTCAATCAGATAATGGGTATAAGGCTGCAGGTCATCAAAACAATTCCTGTCTGCTGTAAACATGAATCAGTACAAGAGACTGGAGTTTCAATATTCGCATAACATTAGAAAATAAAGCCAAAGATGGGGTGTAAACTTACATGTCTGCAATTATAGTCTAGTGGATGCAGGTGTAGAAGTGGATCAGAGAAGGAAGGAATTCTTCGACAACAGTGCTTTCAATTAACAAAATAAAAAATCCTTCTGTACTAAGTTTTACTAAGTTTTAATTTGATTAGTTTTTTTAAACTCAAGTATTTACAGTCTTATATAAGACTAATTTATAGGCTTTAGAGCATCATGCTATAAAGGTTATCACAAAATGAAAAACTGTGTTGTCATGTGTTGCACAAGCTATGTGTAAAACATTTAGAAATAGGTGTGCAGTGAAATTTGGGCTCTTCGGTGTGTGAATGCATTAACTGAGTTTATTTTTAAAAATACTAATCATCTAAACATGGTACATTTTCATATGATATGGTAGTTGTAAGCGCATGCTTACATATTATTAGAAAATAACATGATATTGATTTCATAGTTTCTAATATAACATTTTTGCCTTTTTCTTGACAAATACTTACTAAAATGTACAAAGTGAAAAAAAGGATTTCCACAAAGTAAAGTCAATTACTTAAAGATATTGACTGTTTAAGAATTTAAGTAAAATTCGCTACCTTTGATTTATTGAATTTTTATTTTTATTTTTAATTTTTTGGCCTTTGTGCCTATTTTTAATTGCTTTGTATTATTTTGTAGAAATCGCTTTTCCCGCCGTGGTGGGTTTTTTTTCCCATCAGCGCGGCCTGAGAAACAAAAGGACTACATCTTCCATGGCTCCACTGGAGCCTGCGCACTGCGCAGGACAGATTCACTGACGTTATTACTCTGCGACCCGGCGTTTATGCGACGCACACAGTTATGGCGAGCGGTAAAAAGAGTGTTCCACTGTCCTCTTTGGCAGACTATGGAGATGATTCAGAGCCCGACTCTGACCCCGAACCAGAAGAGACAGGTATAGTAAAACAAACCTAAAACCTTTACAAAGTCCAGTGGCTAAACACATTGTCTGTTGCTGTGCGAATCTCACCCCGGAACTTCATGTGGTGGCTAACGTTAGCTTGTGGCTAACCCAGCTAATATAGTTTACAGAGGTTGTTCATGATGTGAAAACTTGTTTGTAAAAACACGAACATAGATAAAATTCAGGAATTAAAAATTATTTCATCCGAGGGTTCAGGGTGTAGACAGAGTGTTATGGGGGATGTTTGCAGCGGTACGGTATGAGACCTGAACGCTTCGTTAGCGGAGGTCTTGCTGTGTGTCAAGTTACCGGTTAACTCCTGACTCGGTCTCACATCAATGAAATGCGTTAGTTTTCATCCTTGTGTGATTTCACAGAGCGTATGTCTTATAATTATATCGTTTTTTTTTGAATGGCCTATGGCTTTCCGATATATTTCTGTTACTGTGATCCTGGTGTTGTCACGATACCAACATTATAACTTGATGCCTGCCTGAATCTTTCGATACTGATGTAGAAACAGTAACACAGCGAAAACCTACAACATCAGGAAAAGTTACAGGGTTACAGTTTACGACGGGACATCTAACTTAGTTTTTTATTACTTAAATAAAATGGAAATATTTTAACAATGCCAATCCGGGACAGTGGAGGATGTGAAAAGAGGTATTGAATTACTGCACAGTTGTTTGTACATTTTCATATCCAACGAGAACTGATATAAGTCTTCAATAAAATCAGCTTGTGCCATGTTTGTGTTTCTCCACCTTCACATATCACAGTACTGCTTATGAAAGGTGAAGTGAGTCCGTACTAAGATAAGTGGACTTTAGTGCACATTTTAATCACCCGCTGTCATTATTTTTGCAGGAAATTCCAATTTCAAGTTTCACAATTTCCAAATTTGTCATTGATCTTCATAGTTAAGTTGCTAGTTTAAATGCTGCATTATATATGCTTTTAACGTTGATATTTAACTATGAAAGATACATTTTAAATTGTCTAGCAGTTATTATTGCTCTTAGCGAATTACTTTGTCAAAGTCTAATGGTTAAAAGAAGTTCATCTGTTACAAAATGAGTCACTTGTTTGAGTTATACTTGAGGGCAGGAGGTACTTATATTACCTATCACATTTGCTTATCGCTGTTGCTTTTGAAATTTTTTGTACAAGCCAACATGTCTGTTGATGAGGTGCTTTGCTAAGTTGGATGTGTTGGCTTCCTCCAACTGCGTAACTTTTAAACATGTTTTGCAGATAGGCTTTGTGGTGTATATGGGCTGTTCCTCACTCTAGGATGCCTAATAGAAACAATTCCATATTTACTTTGTGCATCTGTCTTATCCACAAGCTGAAGCTGGGTGGCATCAGCAGTTGGATTTGCAGCCATGACTTGGGGGTATGAAAACTGCTAGAGAGAAAAAAGTGGTTAGCAAGCCTGCTATGCGTGCAGGAAGTGGAAGCAGAGAGCTACAAACACACACTTTCCTTGCTGTGGTACATCAGAAATGCTGCTATTAGCAAAACACTGCAGATCAAGTAACGGATTGCACTAATAAAACAGGATTTAGTTCGTTTGTTTTTTTTTAAATAGTAAGGTATCGCAATACATTACTAGTGTCCGAATACCATGCAACACTATCTGATCCATTGCTGCTCTTCATGCAGGTCTGACATGCATTGAAGCAACCAAGAGGTTCATTGTTGAGTTGTCTGACCTCTGTTGTTTGTGTGTGATGTTCCTGTGCCTCTCTCTGTTTTTCTGTCCAACACTAGGGGGGCATGGAGGAGGCTTGGTGTACGGCTATGGAGATGACGACATGAATCGAACGGAGGACATCGAAGACAAGGAGTCTGTAGATGAAGACAGCAGAGAGAGCAACTCGGTTAGTATTAAAGTTCCTTATTCCTCCCTGTAGGTTTGATTTTATTGCTGGGTCTGCGCTTTATGTGGCCCACATGGTGTGTGGTAGTGTGATGTTTTTTGACATGTTCATAACTGGGTCTCTTGTCACGTGCTGAGTCTGTACTGAACTGTGAGGGGACGAGGAGGCTCAGAGTTTGACTGTGGCAGTGGTGGCATCATGTTTAGATGAGCTATGTTTTTGAGTAC